TCCTCCTCCAAAGTGACGTTAAGGTCAGCCTCCCAACGCTTTGCATAAGAAGGTGCACATTTAGCAGGGTAAGACACCAGATGTCAATATAATTTTGATATTTGCCCTGGGGCACTCAGAGCCAATTTTCAAACACTGTCATCTGATCAAGAACCACAAAAGTCAAAGCTGTCAATGAAATGTTTGATTTGGAGATAACACAATATTTCAAAGCTGGCAATTTGTGTTGGTTTCAGGGCAAAAGATGCAGCCAGGTGATGTAGCGGAGTTAAGAGTAGTTTAGATATGAAATTACTTAGGTGCAACAAACAATGGGTAAATGCTGGGTTTTTAAGAATGGAGAGGCGTGGGACATGAGAGGCGGCAACCCCTGTTGTTTTTCAGATGAACAAGATATACTGCAAATGTAGAAATTAGAAGGTTGGGAGAAACAATTTACCGCTGACGGGTGCTTATAATGGTCAGCTTTTATTTAATTTTGTAAAAACTTTATCCCAAAAGGAACAAAACTGTTGCTGTAACTGCTTATAACATGGCTTCAATTTGCTTAGTGTAATTAAATCTGGTAGTTATTCTAATGCTACAATTCCCCCAGACTGATAATGCTGCTGTCCAAAAGTTGTCTATGTTACTCCTTTAATCCAGAGTGTAGGCACTCTAACACAGGAAGTTTGGTACTGGCCAGATCACCAGGGAAACCAGCCTAAAAAAGGAAAACTTATGCAGCCACCACATCTCATAATTGGTAAGCTGCAATATATTACATTACTGGTTTTGGGTTTAAAACCGCTTTAATTACAAAGTTAGCTTTAGACTCTATGAGAAACATTGTGCTTATTTTTAATTTGCATAATAAAACAAGTATTATATAAAAAGGTTTCTCCCACAGTACAAAACATTACAAGCTCAATTGGCACTAACCTAACTTTACCCTACAGTACATTTGTGAACAATTACAATGATTGTAGCAGGGGTAGGCAACCTTTCAAACATTGCATGCCGAAAAATGAAATTAAGAGTGCCAGGTACAGTGAAAGAAATAAGAAATCATTTCTTTGTGAGTGGGCAAACATTCAAAATCAGCAGGGGATCAAATACTTATTTCCTTCACTGTATATATATAAAATACTAGTAAGAAAACATTGCGCTTTCAAGGATGGTAAATGGTAATTTACCCTTTTTCCAGAACACGTGCTGTGAGGCAAGTATGGTAGAGTTGAAATGAATATGTCAACCGAGGACTTCTGCAAAATATACAGTTGGAAATGAAATGTGAGGTAATAAATTTCTCTCAGATAAAACCCAGTCTCTGCACCTTCAGACCCTAAATCAGCCCTCATGCCTGCACCTTCACACCTCAGATCGCCCTGAAAGTGTCCTGAAAGCCTTTTGGCCCCTTGAGGCCCCTTGAGGCAATTTAGCCGGTGTGGGATTCAACAATCATTTACCTATCCACGTTGTGTGTTTTTTTTTTTTTTTCATCATTTTTGTTGGACGTCTTTGCATATAGACTTTATGTCGTATTTATGATTATTTTAGTCACATGTTATTTATTTCTTCATTGTGTTATTGTATTTTACGGTGCACAGTAATACATTCATTTGGTTTCACTGTGCGTTTATATCACCATATTCTGTTTTATACTAGTTGCACTCTATATATGTTTGCCACATTAATTTATGGGATTTATATGGTCACTTATTAGTCGTTTTATGTCACATGGCCTTTTGATGCCTATGTGGTATGACTCTTTAGTCACATTGTCACAATTTTTGGCTTCACTGTGCGTTATTATTGTCATTCTTCTGTGATAAGTGGTTTGTCCACTTTTAATATTAAGCACTTCATTTTGTATTTTTCACATTTTGCTCTACTTTCTCATCAGTTGTATTCACGTTATTTCATTTATGTTGTGACGGACTCATATGTCCCACTATTACTGTGATTTAGTTAATATTTTATTTCTCCCTGATCATTTCCGTGCATTTTGCCCACGGTCCCGATTTATTGTTACACCTTTTGGTCCTCATTTTGGACCTTTATTATTTCACTTTTCCCTTCACACCCATATTCCTTCCATTTACTGATTATGTTATGGTGTATTATCTATTGTCTTCTCATCTCATTATTTGTTTTGGAATGTCTGTGGCATTATTGTGATTAGCGCAACATCGATTTCTGTTTGTTGTTTTTTGCTAGTGGTATAGCCAGGTGTGTGTTGCTGTCCCAATAGTCTCATCTTTTCTAGTAGCAGCGCGAAAAGTTTTTTACATATTTTTTACCGCCTGTAATATGCACTTGAATTGGAGAATTGAATCCCAGTTCCCTAATTCCCTTTTCTAAGGTGGTAGTTAACAGTATCTGTTCGGAAGTTGTAGTTCCTAATAGAAGTTCTAAAGTAGTTGTTACCAAACCTTGTTTTAAAGTAGTAGTTTCTTCTATTTAGACAGCACGGTGAACAGGAGCAGCAGGAATCTATGAACTGCGGGTAATCACTGTGTGAACAGTCAGGAATAGCTGTAGCACCCAGTAACCTGTCACTATAGTGTACTGTACAGGCTTGGCGGCTGCAGCTAACTGCTCACAGATTCCTGCTGCTGCCATTCGCACTGTGGCTAAATGCTCGTGCAAATGTAGCTTAAATTAGTAGTCCCTAATAGCTGTTATGTCAGAAAAGCTTTAAAACCCTTCTCCCTCCACATTAAATTTTCTTTGTATTGAGTTACTCATAAAAAATTGCTGAGGAAGAGGTTAAAAGCCATTTGAAGATAAACCTCTCTGGCAATATCCCCTCCAAGCTGAGCCAGGCACATGGATGCTAAGGGAGAGAAATATTCGGAGGGAAGGCAGGTACACCAATAGTAAAAACCTTGCCATGAGTCTACTCAGGCTAAAAGAGTGCTGTATCACATAGGAGCAAAAATACTGAATATAATTACCCTTTCAACGTGAGGACAAGCAGCCTGGGAAATTCCGACTCTACACAGCTTCAGTGTGCAGAAAGCAATGCAGGAAGCAACACCAGTAAATATACACAAAAACAAGAAGTAAAGTGATCTGTAACATTCCTGTGAATTATTTATTAATATCTGATGTGCAGTAAATATTTTCATAGAAAGGTGCAATTCATCCCATAAACTGAAATGGTGTATCATCTTTTATTAAAGCTTACCTCCAGGCACTTATATATTCTTTGGGTAGCATTTTGGTCACTAATCAATGATATGAAATCAAATGTTTACCTTTTTCACTGTTTTTCAGCCTGTAGTCACATGAGTCTAGAAGAGGGTTGTAATGGCACTATGTCACAACCCAGTGACATACTGGCTACTTTTCATCTACCTTTCATTCACAAAAACAGATAGGTCTTGGTTTTTTAAACACCCTTGGTGGCCACAAGGTGGTGCTACATTTAAGGTTATAGGTAATCTACCTAGGAAAGGTGAATGGCGGACCTCAGCTCTCTAATAATGGGGTCCTTTTTGTAAATAGTTAAAAAACACACCTACTGAAATAAATAGTTGACATTTTCAAGTTGACATTGATGGCCTGTAATACTTGAAAATATATATTCACACACCATGCATACAGCTCTGGTATCTTTATTAACAAAGGAAGCGGTTTTTGGCACAGAAGATGCCAGCACAAAAAAGGTGCATTTATGTTATGAAGGGTTAGTGTTAGGGCTAATGTGAGGTGGGGTTCTTAAGGTATATGGCATTACTTTTAGTGCAAGGGGTTTAAATCCAAAAAACTACAAGCGCTGATCAATGCTGAAACCTAATATACTATAAGTTTTAAACATAAGAGATCACGAACCCCAAAACTCAGGCACTAAAATCATACTCTTGCAAGGAGTCCTTATAATTCTTAGACTGAGGAGCATGGAAGGGAGAGCCTGGCTGCCGCAGCTGAAGAGAAGGCCTGTAATGCAGCAAGGTTGTCCCTAGAGAACATTATTCATAACTGGGAACATGAATCATTTATATCAAACAGTGATGAATGACTAAGATGTCCAAATGATTTATTGATCATTATACCAAGGAGAAGGCTGACAGTCTTCTTGTCCTTAATTGCAGTCCGGTAGGTTGCACACATACCCTCTCATGCTGGTAACCTTTAATGAATGGGCAAGGCGTGGTGAAGAATCTAGTGTCCACCTACATGAGCATTGATACTTCAGTGCCACTATTTTACTAAAGGACAGGAGTCCACACAGCTGATGCCCCTGCTTACAGTGTCAATCTGGTAGCATCGCAGGGTGCATACACTTTTTTAATATAAGATAAAAATGAAACCTACAAGTGCAGGATCAGCACTAAAGACAGCGTACAATACTTTGTACCTTATGAAAAGTCTGTTTTTTGTCCAGGAAATGTACTCCCCGGTCACATCGGTTTGACTTGCAAATCGTCTGCCAAGTTGCACCCTATTGTCTGCTATTAGAGTGGTCATATCGGTGTGGTTCCAAATTGGTCGGAGCACCAATTTCTAAAGTAGTGCATGCACTACTTTTGTTGCGATTTGCATAGACATCTGTGTTAGATGTCTTGCAGATTGCAACTGAAATCGGCAGATCGCAACTGAAATTGGTAGGTCAACCGATTTTGAAATCGTGCAACTTCACTGTAAGCAGCATGATTTAAAAATCAGCTTTGATGTGACCGGGGGCTTACTCTGAAAGATTTTTACTTTTCTGTTTAAAATAAATCATTAACAATCAGGGAGTACAAAACTCATGTAATATCTGCTGTAAGTTCACAAATTCAGGTTCAGAGCTGTCCCTGCCAAAATATTACATACATGTTATATGTTGGAAACTATTGTGGGTGATTAAGGCCACCAATATCTGCTGTAAGTTACAAAAACTGTTTAGATTGATCCTTTAGAAGTAGAAAAAAGTAAGACCAAAATTAAATTGAACTTTCCCCTTTTATTTTGTGCTCAGGGTGCCACGTTTTGCACACACAGATGAACTTCTACTGTTTGGATGATCAAGCATGGAGGTGCCATTTGCCAAAGACTTCCAGTGGCAAACACTAGCACCGCTTTCCAGCCCACGTGTGTACTGTTCTCTTGTGGAAGCTGGAGGACAGATCTTTGCTGTGGGAGGATGTGATGAGGCAGGAAAAATCCAATGAACACTTTTGAGCTGTTTTCTCCAGAAGCCAACCGCTGGACCAGCCTAGCGCCAATGCCATCTGCTAGAGCAGGGGTGGCGGTGGTCTCGTTGGGCAAGAGAATTATGGTAGTTGGAGGAGTGGGAGAAAACCAGTCACCTTTAAAAGTGGTAGAGGTCTACAATATTGATGACGGCAAGTGGAAGAAGAAGAGCTCCCTTCGTGAGCCAGCCATGGGTATATCAATCACTGTGAGAGGTAACTGTCAGGAAGTATCTATTTTTTTTTCTTTCATGTGTCTAATATGGGCAACTACATACGCTGCTGAGAAGCTTTATATTTCTGTAAATAAACAAGAAAATGGCTATTGTTTAAAATGTAAAGTATTTTCTGTCATCCCACTGAAAACAGTAAACACCCTATGTGTCTGGCATCTCATCACAACAGTTGCTGAGCTTGGAAGTTGAGTAAAGCATTGAATTCTCTTGTACTGCCTGTATGCCCTTTCTATATTGTTGCTAAAATGTGAAAATTGTTCATGTTCACAATAAATGTCCTTGAAATGCCATCCAGAGCTAAGTAATATCTGTGATGGGGGTAGAGAAACAAGAAGCTTGACAAGATTTGTATTTTTTTTTTAATTCCAGCAACCTATTGACAGCCAAGAGGTCATTCAATTGAAAGCACACCTTGGATGTTAATGAACTTCTCTCATTGCATACTATATACGGTATTTGCTAACTTTCTTTGTACTTTCAGGTATCTACCTATCGAAAGAATTAAAACTTTTATTTATAATCCATAGACATATATTTCTTAATATGTTTGGAGATAAAAACATTTGGAGCCCACTTTTTTTTATAAGAAAGGACCTAATTGTATCTCAACCATTTTGAGAACTATTCTATTTTACCCCTGGTCCTTCTTGACTTGGTCCTCACAGTACAAGCATTTGGTAACAAAAATCATGCAGACATCTATTAAATATAGTTGGAAAGCTTTTCCATCTTATAATGGTAGTGATCACCTTTTCATATTTGTCTATTTCCGGTAGTTTGTGTGCTTGTTGCCAGAAATTAAAGTGACATCACTAGAGGTTGCCTCCCAAGACAAGGCCTGTTTAATTTGAATCTGGGCTTACTTACGTGTGAGCCTATGTTCAGTTTGTTGTGGAACCAATGCCTAATTATATCCTGTAATTCTTATTTTTATTTCAGATTGCAGGGTTTATGCAGCAGGAGGCATGGGTTCAGATCTGCGACCACATAGTTTCCTTCAGCAATTTGACATGCTAAAAGACATTTGGGTCCACCTTGCCCCAATGCCAACACCTCGGTATGGTGCTACCTCCTTCCTACGAGGAACAAAGATTTATGTACTAGGTAAGCACTTTCACCATTTTTGTTTTAAGCTGCTTTTTTCAGATCTGATTTTATGCATTCAAAAAATGTATTATGTAAGAACAGTGATTCATATTAATATACAATTATCTTTCATTGTTCTGACTACTGTAAACTGATCAAAAGTGCACACCAATGCTTTATACTCTGTCTTAAAAAAGAACTCTGGTCAAAATCACCAGTATGGTTAAACAGAGTACCTGTTAAATGTAATAAATACTATCACTTAACATTTTAACTTACTTTCCTTGCAACAGAAGAGCAGTTAAATTAACATATCATGAGAGAAATAGGTGGCTGCAGATCAGGAAAGTCAGGAGTCCTCATTTGCATATTTTACTTTTCAAGTGAGAGACATTGAAGCCACAGTGTCAATAAGACAGCTAAAGGAGAGCTTAGGAATCCCAGTCAGCGTGTACCTCTTATGACAGGTTTCCTGTAACCTATAGTCCAGGACCTGACCTCTATTTTTGTTTATGTACACCTCCAAATCAGGTCATTTTATTAGCAATTTACATTTGTTTCTGCTTTAGATTTATAGACCCTGGTTTTCTGATTGGGTCCATAAACAGAAAAAAAAAATCAAACCTATCTACAGTACATGGTTGTTTAAAGTGAAAAGCAGAAATAACAAACTAGTTTTAATAGAAATGGTTGCTATTTTTCCAATATTATAGAAAGTGGCTTGTTAATTCTAAGCTAAATAAACCACTGCCAATTTAAAACATAAACTTACTTAGAACAGAACATTTTAAGGTATATTGCAGGCAAAAAAGCTAAATAGGCACTTTGAAATACAATACATAGAAAGTGGGTAAAATAAGTATTGAACACGTCACCATTTTTCTAATATATTTCTAAAGGTGCATAACCTGCGATGGGTTGCATGTTATACCCAACAGTAGCCAACATATTAGACAGAAAAATAACTAGAATATCATGCCTAGTACTTTAATTGCATCCTGTGCTAACTGATACATCATACAGTTTAACCAATGACATAATATAACCAGTAAATCACCTACAGGCATTGGCATACCTAGCATATTTGACACCCATCGCAGGTTATTTTTTAACACCTCCTCCCCTATAGTCAAAAGTATTTTCAATAATAATCATGAAGTTAAATAATAAAAATGGTCATTAAAAAATAAGACAGTGGTAAATGGTAGTAAAACAATCTTCTAAAACGGGTGACCTGACAATGTAGGCAAAAAATGTCAATCTTCCTTACATGGGCTACAAGTGGAAAATTAGTAACAAGCAACAAACAGTCAATCGTTACAATACATGGGCAACAAAGGGGCAGTCATCTGTAACACCCTGCAGAAATACTGACTGCAGGAAGTTAAATAAATACAAGATGTCAGTGTTCTGCAGCTAAGTTATACAGACTCTGTCAGAGAAAAGCTTTGCTGGACTTATAGGCTGATAGCAGGATTTCCCTGTTTAATAATGAGCTAACAAACTACATTTCCCAGAAAAGCTAACTAATAAGTGGAGGCAGATACTTACAGAAGCCCGGCAACCAGAGGACAGGAAGTGGACGCAGGAGAGAAGGTGTAAGGAGAAGACCGTGTGGAACGCTGGAGATCCAAGCTGGGCAGATCGCAGAAAATGGAGAAGAAAGGAGAAATTGCTGACCTCTGACACCACTGAGAAGTCTGGCGAACAGCCCTGCAAGCAGGCAGACCAGAGTGCAGGCGAGAGAGATCCATACTCAAGCTGCACATGACATTACCTAATGCAGTTACTTTCTACTCAGTTTGACTACCATTGTTTCTTAAGTTACACATGTTAAGGCCCAAGTTGTTCAGTTATTACACTTTCAGCATATCCAATCACAAGAGTCTACTGAAATATCTGCCCTTCGCAGATTAAGCTGTATTATTGCTCCCACTACAGTCTGCCCCATTCGCTAAGGAGCTCCTGAATTGCTGCAGGTTGCCACTGAGGCCCAAGGAAGAACTAATCCCTGCAGAAGTGTGTTTGTGTCCATTTTTTGTTAATCTCAGCCTAATTTTGCATCTCACCCTGTGTGTGTTAATGGGGTACCATTTAAGTTCAACATCACTTAAAGGGACAGATCCCTTCCTTTGTGTTTACCCTTCATTGAAGAACTTCTAACATTGCCTCAAGGAAGATTTGCATCCTTATGTGCACCAACTAGGGCCCCATCAAGCACGCAGATCAGACATTGCAGTTCAAGGGACATTGGCCTATTTAATCGAAGAGCTCTGCATTCCTCAGAATTAAACCCAGCCATCAGCCACTGGGAGCTCAAAGTAAGTTAGCCTCTTTGTTAGTAGTTTTTTTTTTTGGCTCACTGCGGAAGAAACATCTCAGGACTGGGGCTATCGTTTAAATTCTGAATTGCAGGACATTGCAGGATTTTCCTGTGTTATGAACTTTACTTGAAGTTACTGAGAGTGAGAGTTGTCATTTCATGCACATATTCCTATGCTGCTATATTGTGCTTACAGTTTACCTCTATACAATCAAAATATCTGGTCACTCTAAACTCTGTGTGAGTCTGTTTTATGGTTACAGCCAGAGGGTTCTTCTGGCCAAAGCTTTAAGGTGGTGTCAGCAGGGGTTGGGCTTTCAGAGTGGGATCAATAAAAACAGGGAACTCAAAAACTATTCAGCGGCCCCTGAAGGGATAGTGCTACAATCATAATACCAGGCAGCAAATGGGCAACTGGTACAATACAGGGTAACAAATGGGCCACCCTTACAATATCCACTTGAAGACCAAGCCTTTTGTGCCACTTTTTGTTTACATGTAACAATCAATATTTTTTGCTAGAAAATGTCTTAGAACCCCTAAACAGTATATATATTTTAAAGTAGAGAATTAAAGTCAAACACAATTTGTTGGGGAAAAATACACTTTCTTGAATTGAGTAATTAGATACCAAACATGGCACAATTGCAGCAGTAACCTGACAATATGTAGGAAAAATAATCTTCAGTACGTGGGCTACAAATGGGCAATCATTAGCAAGCATGAAACAGTCAATATTTACAATACATTATTGTTATTATACATGATTTATATAGCGCCAACAGTTTGCTCAGTGCTTTAAAGGGAGACAATACAGCAACAATAAAAGTTCAATAAAAGAGGGTTAGGAGGGCCCTGCTCCTTGGAGCTTATCAAAAGAGGCAACAATTATAATGCACAGGCAGCAAACAGGCAACTGTTGTAATACAGGGTCAACAAATGGGCAATCATTATGATATGCAGGCAGAATGAGAAATGGTGTAAATAAGCTGGTAACAATCAGGCAACTGTGACAATATACAGACAGCTCTATTAGCACAAATTCAGTCAGCCCCAGCAAAAATACTTTAATAATAAAACTTCCACCCAGCAAAACTCTCCCCCAGGGCCTCAGAAAAAGTATCCCCCTAGCAAATCCACCAAATAAAAATGTGCAAAACAGGCTTCTACAGGTCACACACCCCAAAGTCCATCCCTGACCAGAAGCTATAGCCAAATTTTAAGAGTTTTCTGCTCCCCACTATAATAACAATAGAGCTTGGTCAAAGCTGTGACTAGATAGGGAAAAATCAGCAGCTCACTAAAGTGGTAATATCTGTGTTTTTTCCTCCAATCAGCAAGTGCCATTTGTTATATTTACAGAACAGTGCAGTGCAGTAAAGCCTCCTTGCTCCTTTCACTGTCAGTTGGATTGCTGATGTGCAGGGCATTACATTAAGCTGCTACAAAGATAGATCACGTAATAATTAAAATACATTTAAGCGCAGAGGTTTATATTAATATATAACTGGATTAAATAGGGGTCTTTCATAACTGCCTACACCAACACTGTAATTACTAAAACTCCAGTCTGTTTCATTCTGCAAAGTATGATCTGTATATTACAGAGCTAAGAGTCATGGCTGGCATTTGTCAAGGACACAGCAGCTGCTTGTCAAGCTGGCATCACAGGGGAGCAGGCTGAGCAATCCAGCCCAGGCTCTCTAGTGTCCAACCAATTCAAATTTATCCTGAGAAACTCTAAGATGTTTCCAAGATGACAGAAACAGATGTATACTTAGAAAAGAATTTCAATCCACAATTTACTATTTTAAGCCACGGTTCAATAAATATGTTTGGCATGTAAATGCTTTTACATTAAATTGCTTTGCGCAGGAATCATTAGCAAACAAATGTTGACTACAGGCAGTGGTAATGATAAGGGGTGAGATAGCTTCCAATCTTATTTCATATTTCCAGAATTCAGTTCCCAGATGATTTACAAACATGTTATTAAATGAGCCTCATTGTTCAATACCCACAGCTTGAGCAAATTGGTGAGGACAGGGAAGTGTATTAACCATTAATGTACAAAATAAAATTAGATAAATGAAAAGGAACCATCTGTTTGCTTTTGACAAAATATTAATTAATAACTGAATAATAAATGAAAAACATATTGCTTTTATTATAATTAACTTTACAAAAATGCATGGTATCCTTTGACAATAGAGGGAGAGACCAAGTGCTGTTTTTCCAATAATAAACAGAATGAGCTTATACTCAATGGAATGTAGAAGATCTGCTGATGCAATACCCTATTTAACATTGAATCTGCTGTCCTGGTCTTATTATTTAAACTGTGGGTCACTGTTGTAATGGAATGCTACAGTACACAAATGACGTGAGATATATGGCATCAGGCGGTAGGTTTGTTGTCTAGTACATTGAATACTAATAAAATGTGTTTGCCTAGGGCCTGTTAGCTGCCAGACATTAGTGTTAATTATTATAAAAAACAGAATTTCAGGTGATCAATTAGAGGTACGGCTGTACAATCCAACCAAAACCTGCTTTTCCACATTCCATGAAATGGTGAGATGTTTTGATTGTGAAATAATTTGCACCGCATCCCCAACTGTTTTCCTATTGGTTTGCTCATTCTAAACCATTTTTTCTTTACGTTTTAAAATACACTGTACAATGAAGAGTCATAATGTGAACTAGCAACTAGGCTAGGCTTAGAACAGTTTTAAAGCAGCCATACATTATACAATTTTCTTATTCAATTTCCTTTAGATTTACCTAAAATTACACTATATTGCCAAAAGTATTGGGACACCTGCCTTTACACGCACATGAACTTTAATGGCATCCCATTAGTCCGTAGGGTTCAATATTGAGATGGCACATCCTTTGCAGCTATAACAGCTTCATCTCTTCTGGGAAGGCTGTTCATAAGGTTTAGGAGTGTGTCTATGGGATTGTTTGACCATTCTTCCAGAAGTACATTTGTGAGGTCAGGCACTGATGTCGGATGAGAAGGTCTGGCTCGCAGTCTCCGCTCTAATTCATCCCAAAGGTGTTCTATCGGGTTGAGGTCAAGACTCTGTGCAGGCCAGTCAAGTTCCTCCACCCCAAACTCGCTCATCCATGTCTTTATGGACATTGCTTTGTGTACTGGTGTACAGTCCTTTTGGAGCAGGAAGGGGCCATCCCCAAACTGTTCCCACAAAGTTGGGAGCATGAAATTGTCCAAAATGTCTTGGTATGCCGACACCTTAAGATTTCCCTTCACTGGAACTAAGGGGCCAAGCCAACCCCTGAAAAACAACCCCACACCATAATTCCCCCTCCACCAAACTTTACATTTGTCACAAGGCAGTCGGCAAGTACCATTCTCCTGGCACCACCAAACCCAGACACGTCCATTGGATTGCCAGACAGAGAAACGTGATTCATAACTCCAGAGAATACATGTCCACTGCTCTAGAGTGCAGTGGCAGCATGCTTTACACCACTGCATCCGACACTTTGCATTGCACTTAGTGATGTAAAGCTTGGATGCAATTTCTCAACTATGGAAAACCATTCCATGACACTCTCTACGCACTGTTGTTGTGCTAATGTGAAGGCCACATGAAGTTTGGAGGTCTCTAGCTATTGACTCTGCAGACAGTTGGCGACTTCTGTGCACTTCAGCATGCGCTGACCCGCTCTGTCATTTTATGTGGCCTACGACCTCATGGCTGGTATTCCCAGTTGCTTCCTCTTTGTTATTATACCATTTACAGTTGACTGTGGAATATTTAGTAGCAAGGAAATTTCATGGATTGGATTGCACAGCTGGCAACAGTACCACGCTTGAATTCATTGAGCTCCTGGGAGCGGCCCATTCTTTCACAAATGGTTGTACAAGCAGTCTGCATACCTAGCTGCTTGACTTTATAGACCTGTGGCCATGGAATTGATTGAAACACCTGAATCCAATGATTTGGTGGTTTGTCCCAATACTTTTGGCAATATAGCTTATGTAGTGCAAGGGCCTGCTTGATTGCATACAAATTGAAGGTGTTTAAGTTTGAGCTAATATTATATGGTTTTGGTAAATTTAAATGAAAATTATACAAGAAAATCGTATAATGTATGGCCTGCCTTAGTATAGTAATTAGTTGTTTTTGTTTTCTTTAATTTGTAACTACTTCATTCCATCATTTTAATCTTTACAGGTAAATATTTGTGACAAATGTATCATTGTATCAGCAGCTGGCATAACACCATTTCTGATCACTAGTGGGAGAATTTACAAAAATAAACTGCAAGCTCATAGTTTGCCTAATTGAAAGAAACCTAGACTCAGCTACATCTTTGCATGAGCTATTTCTGTCATACAGCTGCTTAATTCCCCCCTTGTTTTATATTTAATTTATTTTCAAGAGAAGGTTTCAAAGTAAAAAAAAAATCTATAGTTTTTTAATTGAAGATTAATTATATTTAATTAAATGTTTACACCTATAAATATATAATTTGTCTATTTGCTGGGGAAACTGTTATTTTGCAAAATAAACTGTCAACTCTAGGATCTCAATATCTCTAACATTCATATACACAAGGAAAAACCACATCTCCTCCAAGTCATGACTGTCAATAGTTAGGGCATATAAAAGTCAAGTAATCCCTTAAATTTTAAATGAGGCCTGAATTGGATATCAAGAGCAGAAATGAATAAACCAGTCTTCTGTCTGCAATTTTAATTTGTTTCACTAGGTAAGTAGAAGAGGTAATTAGGTAGGTACATAAACCTTCATAGAAAAAGAAAAAAATTACAGATCTTCAGCCTGACATCTCTCATTTTTCCCCCATTCTTTTCTTTTTCTTTTTTTATTACCATTCCGTCCATCCCTCCTTCCTTCCTTCCTTTTCTTCTGCCTTCCATGTTTTCTCTTGTGCTTCTTCTTTTTTCCTACTTTTTCCCTAAAATAATAAGCTACATTTTCTGACAACAGCTTCCATGCTTACAGGTGGCAGGCAGTCTAAATATGCAGTAAATGCTTTTGAAGTCTTTGACATTGAAACTCGTTCCTGGACAAAGTTCCCCAATATACCAAACAAAAGAGCCTATTCAAGATATGTCCTAAATGATGGCTCCGTCTACAGTTTAGGAGGACTGCGACAAGGTGGTACATATCGCAGGCCAAAATTTACCAAGACTGTGGATATATTTGATATGGAGCAAGGTAAGAAACTACTGTTGTCACCAAGGGATTACATTGCAGCACAGTGTGAAAGGCAGTACTGAGAGCAAAGGAGTGCTGCAGAATGAATTGTGCACAATCAATTCAGGTTGCCCTTCTACAGAGTGATCTTTATTGATATGATGGAGATTGCTCTGTCTTGCAGGAAGTGACATATAGAATGCTCACACAGTTTGTTCCCTGCTATTTTGGTTCAAGTACTACCATTGATCTGACTGTCAGATAAGGATACCAACAACAAGTAATGGAGATTTTTTTTTGCAAGTGATGGCATTAAATGTTGCCTTGTTAAACTTCTATTAGAATATCTGGGTAATAATCATAAAAATACTGTTTTAAATTTCAAGTATACATAGGACAATCAATATATGTATGTACAGTTAAATTACCAAAAAATAACCAGTGTCGATACATTCATTATTTGCCGAGAACCCTAAGTCCAGAAATTTGACCCATTCCACAAGGTGTTTTATTTTTTTTTACCTGGTGAAGCATGGTGAAGAAATTCTACTCACCTACGTCCCCCCATCCAGGTTCTTTGCTGATACTATTACAGGCTGTGGGGACCTCTAATTCAGTGCCACAAATGGGCTTGAATTTACCAGTCCCCTTCACTCCCCAAAGGCTAACATCAACCTTCTTCTGGAACCCGCAGCTGACATACTGTAAAATATGCATAGAAAATTCCCATATCTTGCAGGCAGTGATGTGGACACCTGAAAAAGTACTTATGCAGGAAGTAAATGGAAGAGGAGAAAGATTCAGTGCTGAAGTGTCATATGGCCACTAAGATGGGCTTTAACTCCTATGTTTAAAAAAGCCTGGCTCCAGAGTCAAATAACTGAAGCTCAAATTACACAAACATGAATAAGTTAAAAGAGGTATAATTGTATATATTAGCACAAGTCTCATGCTTCATAGCAACTCACTCAGATATTTTAACTCATTTGGACTTTTTTTGTTTAACAAGGGCTAGTTTCATATACTGTATATAATAATTCAGATCTGCCATTACATCAGGCGTTGGATAATCTTGGCTGCTGAGAGGTGTTACTACTATTTCTGTGCAGAATAGTAAGACTAGTAAGCCAGTCCTTAACCAAGAAAGGACATATATGAGCCACTCTGTGTTATTTTAAAACCTTACTCTGAGTAGTGATAAATTTAAATACCCCAACCCCCTAACGCTGATTATTATATTGCTCATGTTTTTCTAACAGAGTAATACTTGGCTTACTTTACAATCCCATAACAGCTGGAAGGCCATTCCTCAGCTCTCCATAAGTGAAATGTGGACTGGCACTCCTTTTATCAGCACTAGAAAGTAGGACCAGTTGCCTCTTCACCAATATTGGACATGACCACTGGTCATTGCATAGTATGTAATGATGATAGCAAGAGGGCTAGCAACAAGACTGGTAAGAGACTTGCAGGAAAGTGGCTTCAGGGGACCAGTTGTCAAAACCTGAACTGGTGGGGAGCAAGTCACATGGAATAAGATAAATATTATTCTGTGTTAATATTATTATTATGATACAACATTTATACAGTGCCAACAGTTTATTCCTAGATTGTATTCTTCATCAGCTGGTGGTGATGGGACAATTTTAATAATTTTATTACTGCTCAGAGTTAAGTGTCAACTAATGGCTATAGGTTGTAAATAGAAATGTGCAGAGGAAATAAATATTGTACCCTGTTCTCCTCTTTTAAGTCCATTGTATCATATATGTATGCTTTAGCCTACATGTGACTATTATATTTAACCAAAAATTACAAAATTAACAGGAATGCAACCATAACCACAAGGGTTCACTGTACTTTGAAGAGAGAAATTCTGAACACCTTGTATTAATAAAGAATAACTAATAATGATGGAAACAATGTCACCCGCGTCAAATGACCCATAATGTGTACCTGAGTTTTTCCACAGCTAGTTAGCTTTCTCTTTCTACTGTCACTTCTAATTTCTTTTTTTTTTATTCAACTTTTCCTTTTTCTGGTAAAATCATTTTTTATTGTTGCAGCAAAGATATAATGTACAGTAGATCACCAACCCAGGGGAAATGCAACAAGAATGGAATTAAGTAGGCATGAGCGAAATGGTGGTGTGCAACAATTATTTTACCTTTAGGTTTGTTAGTGGGCGACCACACGAACAAGGTCGTCGGTCTACATATGTTCCCTGGGCCCAAGGGTCCAGGGATATACCAAGAAAAATGTGGAGAGGATGGCACTGAAGGAGGGGAAGAGGGAAGGGAGGGTTCCTGCAGGCTTGGATAGTAGTATCAGCAGTTAAAAGCTGCCAAGGCTGGTCGGATGCAAATAGGATAGGGCATACGACCACAAAGGAGTCCAAACTTTCAAGAATTTGGCACGGGAGTCATGAAGGATGCTTGACATCTTTTCATGTATCATAAGGGTGGTAAGGTTGCCCTTCACCACTGCAAACGAGACATAGGGTGTCTTCCAAGCCATAGCTATGGCACGCTTTGTGGCAATAAACAAATAGGTGGCAAGTTTCCGTTGATATGAAAATAAGCTAGGGATTAGACAATGCAGTAGTGCCAGTTTAGCATCTTTTCGGATAGGTACATAGAATAATGTGTGTAGGAGCCTGAAGTCCCGAGACCAAAAGCTGTATGCAAGTGAATCGGGTTGTAAGAGCGTCTCGCATTGTACCCAGTTTGTTGGTACAGATATAGAATTTGTGCTTGGCCCATCTAAGGTCCTTTTTGGCTTGGTCAGTGGCTAAAAGGTCTAGCTCTGCTCTAAGGAGTCACACTTTTCCTGGTTGGAGGTCATTGAGGGGAATTCCATACGTCATCCGCTGAGGCAAGTTGTTGGGATAGTTCCTTGAATTGTGTTCTCGTTCGCTTCCTCTCAGAAGCTAGCTGAATCAATTGGCCCTGGAGAGTAGCCTTGTGGGCCTCCAACAGAGTGACTGCTGAGGAGACAGAGCTGACATTATCAGAAAAAAAGGTTTAGATGCGGGACTGAATCTCAGAACAGGTGAGGAGAGACTCGTTGAGCCTCCATTGAAAAGAAGGGCGGGTGAGGCTGGAAAGTGTGAGAGAAAAAAATTAAAGGATCATGGTCTGACCATGAAGAGGTGGGTATGGTGATTGCATCAACCAGGGAAATGCAGAGTAAATGCATAAAGACATGGTCAATTCTACAAAAGCTATGATGGGGGTTCGAGTAAAAAGTGTATTCACGGCCCCTGGGACGGAGCTCCCTCCAGACATCCAGCAGGCTATGGGACTAAAGGAGGGTCCGCATCTGGGGTTCCATAGTGGAATCATGAGATGAGCCTGGAGCATAGCGTCTGTCCAATGAAGAATGTAAGGTGACAATCCCCCATAAGGATTAATGTTCCTTTAGTGTGTTGTGCAACCGCTTGCAAAAGGTGAGAGAAGAATTTGTTTTGGAATCTGTTTGGGGTGTAATAAGACACCAAGGTGGTTTCCTGGCCATTAAACATTTCCTAAAGTAACAGGTATCTGCCAGTAGGGTCAGCCAGTTCCTTATTGCACTGAAATAGGAGATGAACGCTATCAGCACTCCCCAGTACTTCTCTGGAGCTAAAGCTAAGTAGGGTAAAGCGAGGAGAGAAACTTAGGGGAAGATGTGAAGGAAAAACTGGTATCCTGTAAGCACACAATATCAACCTGACTGGTTTTGAGGTGGTGAAAGACTTTTGATTGCTTGACAGGCCAAATAAACCTTTGCATGTTGTGAGAGTATATTTTCAGATTTCTGCTAGCCATGGTGAAGGGGAGTTGTCGGGCTGTGATGACCCTGGCTCAGACTCAGAGTGGCTCAAATTTGGGAATGCTGTAAGGATGTTAGCAACTTAAGCTTGCAGAACTGAGGGAGATAGGGGAAAGGGGGGAGGGAGAACTAGGAAGCAAAGGCAGAAAGAAAGGAAAAAAATTAAAAGATTAAGGAGGTATGGATTGTTTACAACATCCCAAAATGTAGGACGTCTGTTGCAGGGGTACTCGGAGAAGGGGGGGGGTGCCAATTGAGGTGGGGGAGGAGTACAGGTCTCCGCTGCCAGCTCCAGTAGGAGCATGCAGGTTTGTTGCGAAACAAAGGTGAACACAGATGAGACTGGGGAGTCCCAAATCTCTGGGTAGAGACCAAAAGATGGGCATGGAGAGTTGAACAGTAAGAATGCTCAGTTCAGATAATATCATAACGTAACCCAAAATGAAAACTTGTACAGTCAAGTAAACTTGCCCGGCAGGGAATGCTCCCGGTCAACGGGGGGCCTGGGGCGCACCAAGCTGAGCTGGTACCCGAAGGCCAGCACCCCCCAAACTAAACCCAAGGAGGCAGGAGTCTGGGAAAGCAAACATCAAATATGGTAGCTATCAAATGTATTGTAGAAGACATACAGTTAAAGGCTATATCAGTCAGAACAAATATAGGGGCATGAGTTTCTAGAAGCAATCAAATGTAAGGGACTGGGGGTGTAGTTAGAGGAGGGATGGGGAAGGGAAAAGAAGGGAGTGGGAAGAAAAGGGGAGTGGAGAGGGATAAACAGGATAGAGATCTAGTCAATCATAGCCATAGGTTCACTGAAACAGAACCCTTGTGAAAAATAAGTTGTGGGTGCCTGGAGGTATAGGGGAGAGCATAGGACTGGCTAATTATAGCACAGAAAGAGTCGTCCTGCTCTTGTAGACACATAAAAGTAAACAAAATTAGGTCCATAGGAGAGCTCGTCCACTGAAATGGTGTTATGGGTCAGGAAGCAGGGGAGATTAGGTCTTGCGAGCCCAACATATTAGTGGCGGGATTACTCTGTATCCTGCAATTCAACCATGCGAGGTGCAGGGGAGGAAACCAAGGGGCCCAACAATGTCACAAACCAGGAACAATGAGGGGGAAAAATTATCCCCCAGCCACTACCGGTGAGTGGTCACCAACAGGAAAATGTCCAGTCTGCAGCGGGTACAAGGATCCCGAAAGCTTACAGTCAGCCTGGGTCATCTTTGGAGGAGCCGGCCATTGGTGGTGTATGAGGGAGAGATTGCTTGTGGCCCTTCGCCTTCTCCCAGGCTCATCCCAGGAGGTTGGATGGAGACCGGGGAGGTAAAGATCCAGCTGGGGAACAGGCGGACTCACTGGACGGTAAGAGTCGGAGTGATTCCAGGATGGTCTTGGCTTCATCAGTAGAGTGTAGGATGTGGGTATGGCCTCGGTAGGAGAAAGTCAGTTTAAAGGGAAAGCTCCATTAGTACCGTATTTGGTGGTTTAACAGTGCCGATGTATATGGTTTCCTCTGCTTGTGCTTTAGAATGGTGGACAGGGCTGGGTAAGCAATAGTTGGTACCGATGGCCTTGAAAGGTGAGGTCCACTTTATCCCTGGCTGCCCAAAGAAGGGTCTCCTTGGTTTGATAGAAGGTAAACTTGATTATGATATTACGTGGAGGACCATTAGATTTCTTGGGACCTTGGGGCGGATGCGGTCGAACTCCAATTGATCTATGAGTATAGCCAGCACTAGTTCTTAGAATAAGGCCATGGCTGTGGAGATGAGATCAGTTATGGTCTCAGGGATACCCCAAAGGCGCAAGTTACCCCCTATGGGATCTGTTCACAAAATCCTCCATGCGCAAAAGAGCAACTTCCAGCTCTTTATGGAGGTCTGACAAATCCTGTTGATGGTTCTCCATGACAGAGGCCATGGTGTCCATTCTTTCCTCCAGGTCATTAGTGCACGAGCCCAGGTCCCTGATCTCCTTCGTTAGCTGCACCGCTAGTTTGGACGTTGTGGTCAATAGTGCCGTTTGCAGCAAGGCCTTAAAATGCAGCAGAAAGTCGGCATCCCGCAGTACTGGTTGTGGAGGCTCTGGGGGTCCTTCCAGGCCATCCTTCAAGGCAAGGAGCTGGTCAGATTCCAGGAGCAGAAATGCAAAGGGATCTGGGCTCGAGGACGGGACTTCAAAGATGGCATTCGGCGGGAAGGCCTTGTCTACTGTCTGATCTGATTTCTGTGTGCAGGAAATCCGGGTAGTGACTGTCTTTTTCCCCATCAGGTGCTTTGGGAATTTACCAGACCGCCCTACAGATGGGCAAGCAGATGGCAGATGTGTCTGGGCAGCGAGGAGCCAGATTAACACGCGGCCATCTTGGTTCACTGCTCGTGAGCGCCCCCAACATTCCTTCTTTACTTTAATCCACTGTGATGGAGTCCACTTCGCATCTCCACTATAAAGAATTGCTACGTCATAACAATGTTGGAGGGTTATACAGTATACTTTTTATGGCCATTCTTTACAAGCCCTCCCCTGCATTTAAAAAAAACAAATGAGGATCTTTTCTTAGCCTTGCTCGATTATAGCTATACATCATGTGCACAATTATTAGGCAAGTTGTATTTTTGAGGATTATTTTCATTATTGAACAACTACAGTGCTCTTGGTCAATCCAAATTGTTAATAAACTTCAAACCTGAATATTTAAGAAATTAAAGTGAGGTTTTGGCACTCTCAGGAGAATGTGTGCACAATTATTGGGTAACTAATAGTGTGCAGAATTATTATGCAACTAAATGAAAAACAATTATTTTCCCATCTCACTTGTTTATTTTCATCTCTTTAAAGTGAAAATAGAATAATCAATAAACAACTCAAAATTTACAAATAAACATTTCTGATATTTAAAAAAAAAAAATCAGTGACTGATATATCCCCTCTTCTTTTCAGTAACAGTCATACGCCCTTCATTCATGGAGTCTGTCAGTTTCTTGATCTGTTGACGATCAACTTTTTGTGCAGCAGCAACCACTGCCTCCCAGACACTGTTCAGAGAGGTGTACTGTTTTCCTTCTCTGTAAATCTCCCATTTAAGAAGGGCCCACAAGTTCTTAATAGGGTTTAAGTCAGTTGAAGGAGGCCATATCATTATTCTTTTATCTTAGGGCCCTTACTGACTAACCACGCAGTGCAGTAGTTCGATGTATGCAATAGAGCATTGTCCTGCATAGCTATCATGGTCTTCTTGAAAGATGCAGACTTTTCCCTGTACCACTGCTTGAAGAAAGTGTCTTTTAAAAACTGGCAGTAGGTTTGGGAGTTGACTTTGAGTCCATAGTCAACCAAAAAGGTCCAGCTAGCTCATCTTTAATAATACCAGCCCATACCAGTACCCCAACTCCACCTTGCTGGAGTCTGAGTCAAAGTGGAGCTCTGTGCCTGTTACTGATGCAGCCACGGGCCCATCCATCTGGTCCGTCAACAGTCAATCTCATCTCATTGGTCCATAAAACCTTTAAAAAATCTGTCTTTAGATAGTTCTTGGTCCAGTGTTGACATTTCAACTTATGTGTCTTGTTCAGTGCTGGTTGGGTTTCAGCCTACCTTACCTTGGCCATGTTTCTGAGCACTGAAATCCTTGTACTTCTGGGTATACCAGGTATGTTGCAGTTCTGGAATATGACAGCACTGGGAGATAATGGGTTCCTGGTAGCTTTACGTTTGATTCTTCTCAAATCTTTGGCAGTTAATTTGCATCTTTTTTTCTCAACACGTTTTTTTGACCCTGTTGACTATTTTGCAAACGTGATCACACCCCAATATCTTAGCAATTTCAAGAGTGTTGCACCCCTCGATCCCTCTTTTTGCAATTTTTGACTTTTCAGAGTCAGTTAAATCTCTTTTTTGGATCACCTGATATACTTAAATCCAATAAGCAGTCAAGTTTATACAGCTTAAAGTTGGACAATATTCATAAAAATGATGATTTGGTCAGATTTCTCATTTGCCTAATAATTGTGCACACAATGTATTGTGCAAGTGTGATATATATAACATGTAATCAGGTATCCATAGGCATAAGAGGACAAGCTAACCTGCATTTGCTTATTACAGCTTTCTTATAAAGTTACAGTGTTTTGTAGAGATTTTTAATTTATTATTAATTTTATTTTTTATGTGTGTTCTGCTTTATGTATATTGATATTTTAGATAGTTTATAGCACATAGGTATTGAAAGATAATGTAATTATACCCCATGCTTTAAGTTAGACATAGATGTGTAAACGGTATGTAGATGTTTTAAGGTAAAGATTAAATGGGATGGTCCTCTGTCATGTGGGTCACCGTTCTAAAGCCCTGTTTTCTATCAAGTTCATTCCCCTTGCAGCTTAACCTGCTGTGGTATTAGAGATTTAGGCCCCCTTACTGCAGTGCTTTACTCTTTGTTAACGTGTAGTATTTTATGTGTTGATGTGTATTTTTTGTGTACATTATATTGCACTCTGGCCTATTCAAAATGAATGGGCCATGAGTGCACCACCATACATACAAAAAGGAACATGTACATTTTTTTCAGTACATCTGTTCATTGTGGAGCACTGCAATGCATATGCATTGGGGGAAACTTTGCACGGTGTATCAGGATGCATTTACAAATTAATGGCATTGCAATGCACCAGTGATTGTGCATTTCTGTACTATGCAGTAACATGTAAAACATGCATTTTTACTGCATGTTACCCCAGGCCACAGATGTGAAGCCAGACTTACTATAACTGAAGAACTGCAAAAAGAATTGTACTCAGTGGGACTTAGAACTGTAGAACCCTGCACAGAGGTAATATTAAAACCTAAATCTTAATTAACCTTCACCTCACCTACAATACTCCAGCTATGTGTAAATTATCATTATTATTTTAGGAGGCTGGGTGAAAATAGATCGCTCCTGCTTTCTAAGGAAAAGAAGAGCTGATTTTGTTTCGGGTGCAATACATGGAAGAGTTATCGTTTCAGGGGGTCTTGGTAAGTAACTTAGTTTTAAACATTCTATAATGTTTCAATACAGTTGGATGCAGGGAAAATATAAGTTTTGTTTACATTTTTGTTATGTTTATGCCTGTAAATCATGTAAATGTTTAGTGCAAGCTATTGAAATTTGTATGCTGTATGCATGCATATTAGCGAAGAAAATATGTTCAAAGCCTCTCTACATTTAAAATTTTAAACTATTTAGTGAAGAGTTAAAAAATATTTAATAGAAAAAATTTAATTTTGATTCATATACTGTTATAATTTTCTATGCTCCTATCATCTGAGAATGTGATTTTCCCTAAAATTCTAATTTTTCTCCACCCACTTTCTTTTCCCAAACAACTGAGGACTATCTTAGCTGATGAACCCTATGTAGGCTAAAGGCAGCCTGCTTGTGACTCTCACAAGGTGGGGACAGGTTACAGTGGGTTCACCTGTACCCTCAAATTCCCTATCGTGGTGTGTAAAGAAGAGGAGGAGAAACTGAGGATGGTTTCCTCTCAGTGGTGGTAGTACACCACTGTACATTTAACGTGGGAACAAATAAGCATCCGTATTGTGCAGCAAGCTCAGCCTTGGGATAGTTTTTGGATATTTGGAAAAAGATGGTGGGGATACAGTAGATATTGTTTGAAAAAAGGACCTTTATCAGTTATGAAGCTTCTTTAGGGCTCGTTCAAACCAGCAGTGGCAAACAGCCCTAACAAGACTATATTCTCTAATGAAGAGAACTTACAGAAAACATGTTAAAAAAGCTATGAAGAGTCACAACCTGCCTTTTTATAAAAATCGTTAATTTTATTTTAAAAAAAAATGATACATGAGAATTTTATATATTTTTAACAATTGCTTTTTGTTCTAAGAAATTGATGGATAATAAACATATTTAAATACGGTTTTATAATTAACATGAAATGGTACAAACAGGCCCCCCTATTTTGGCATGTAAATAAAATAATGAAAGGTAGGTACCGACAGACATTTATTAAAGCAGAGCTTCACTCAAAAGGGAATGTTCTGCTTTAAGGCTTCCTCTCCCACTCCTCAATAATAAATGGCACTTTTTATGGGGGGAGAGAGAGGGGTAGCAGGTATTTACTTTTGACAGGTACCCACTCCCAGATAAAAGCACAAAAGATAAAGTGAGCACTACAGGCAAGCTGCCGTGATACCAAAAAGGTACCAAAAAACCTTCCGAATCCTAGTAGGTGCAGCGCTGAGATCCGAATAACAAAATAAAGTGGAATAAATCCACCAAACATCAAAAGCAATCATAAACCAGCAGAAATAAGTAAATGTATCACTGTTCCGAAATAATCTGTAAAGTGATAATGGTGCTTAAAAAGTGACCATAGATAATGACATAAATGACATATAAAAGTCCATAAAGTGACAAAGTGAATGATATAAATCAATGTAATGCCACTCAAGGTGGCTAATAGTGCTTAATATAGTGACAAAGTCCAAAAAGAAAGGTGAAGATCCAATGCTAAGATCTCAGGGTATGGTGATCCACTTCCTATCTCCAATCATATGGTGATATATCAGGTAATAGAAGAATTGCGCACTCACCAGATGCCCACTAACATCATGCATTTGAGAACACAAACTTCTCAACAGGTCAGCCGGATCCTCTTAAGGGCATGCACAACCTGGTCTGGACTCCCCCTCTAGATCATCGGTGGGCAGCAGCACCTCTGTTTTCCTCCTTACACAGCTCTGTGGGTGGTTAAGCTCACAAGGAGCCCAAAGAAAGGATGCCAAATAGTGTGATACTGCTACAGAGGGTGTTTATTGTTTCCATCACAGGTAAATACAAATGAAAACAGAACTGACCATGTCTATCCAAAGATGGCCGTCAGACCTGCAAGAGGCCTCGGCGGCGTGACGTCACGACGTTGTAGCTCCTCCCAGACACATTTCTTGCTCTAGCACATACTCATAGGGGGTGTGCCTGCAACATCTGACGTCTCATGTCCCTATTTATAGTGTAAAAGGCGCGTCCGCGCCCGCCATTTTGTCGACTTCGACACCTGCGCATTACGTGGGTGCCATTTTGTTGTGGATCATTTACAAAGCACAAGAGCCATCTTTATGTAGACAGAGTGCATGCGCATATGGGCGCCATTTTCCTAAGGATATTGTATCTGAATGCCACATTGATCACCAGGGATTGACCAAACAGAAACATTATCAATTCAAAAACTCCAGATATGGGATACTCGCAGTACAAAATGAATTGCAAAGAGGGGCAAACATCATACTCATATAAAAACCCACATTACCAACGTAATCCCTCAAGTAGCTTTTACCTGTGAATGCGCAGTTCAACGCAACCCCATTTTGCATATGTAACAAATCTATATTATTGAATTGTGATTCATATGCTTATGTTAGACTTTTTAAAATAAGGTTATGGGTATACCCTCAGAGTAAATGTACTCCAGAAAAAAGAGGGAGAGGTCAATATAAATATTCCTCCTGGTGAGCATAGCGGCATTATGATATTACAATCTGATTAATAGGATGATAACATGCTGAAATTAGTAAATCAACAATCCATGTAACTTCTATCCTGGTATGGTCAGTTAAAATGAATACAATTAAAAGTGAGATATCACAATACAATCACGGAATAATCAACATATATGATCAATAACACAGATATGATCTATATCATATGTTAAAAACCTCTGTGAGTAACTAAAATAACTTTATTAAGATAAATCCAGTTAATATAATCAAAAAATGGTTAAATATAAATAAAAAATAAAAATTAAAAAATTATAAAATAAGCCCAAAATATACAATAGAATAGCCATATATAAAATATAAAATGTGGGAGGACAAGAAATATCTCAGCTCAGCTATTGTCTATAAAACAATTGATGTCCATCTCAATATTAAGCCCTTTAGGATATAGGGTACCTATTTCAAAAATACATTTGGACTCAAGCTGAGAAACAGCCCTTCTTTTATTGGTTCCCCTCCAATGTGCTTTAATAACCTCAATGCCTATGAATCTTAACGAAGATGGATCCCTGTTGTGACATAACCTGTAATGTTTAGAAAGAGAGTGATCCTTGTAGCCCCTTTTAATATTATACACGTGCTCTCTTAAACGGTCCCTCAGTCTGCTCATGGTGCGCCCAATATATTGTTTTTTACACGGGCACTGTAATAAATATACCTACTATTACATGAGATGAAACTATCAATGTCATATGTTTTCCCTGTTGTGGAAGAAGTAAAATTCTCAACCTTCTTTGTCCTGCTGTTATTGCACAAACATATTACACATCTTTTACAAGGATAAAAAAACCTTTCATCTCAGCAAAGAAAGATGTATTTAACGAGGGGTTGGCCACGTTTGGAGCTATCCTATTTCTCAAAGGCATAGCTTTTCTAAAAGTAATCTCAGGTTTGTCGGGTAACATTTTGGCCAAAACGGGATCTGCTTTTAAAATCTTCCAATTGTTGTTAATAATCTTAGTGACAGTTTTATGCTGACTGGAGAAAGTGGTAATAAAAGGATATATTTTAGATTGCCTTTGTTTCATTACATCTCCCAACATTTCCTCTCTATTACTATTGGCCACCATTTCCAAAGTATAGTTCAATGCAGACTCATCATATCCCTTCTCCAGAAATCTATCCTTCAAAATAGATGCTTGGGAATAGTAAGTATTAATATTAATATCCTAAAGGGCAGTTTCTTAGAATTATAAGGAACTGCACTGATATTAATCACACTATTTGGCATCCTTTCTTTGGGCTCCTTGTGAGTTTAACCACCCACAGAGCTGTGTAAGGAGGAGGGCAGAGGTGCTGCTGCCCACCGATGATCTAGAGGGGGAGTCCAGACCAGGTTGTGCATGCCCTTAAGAGGATCTGGCTGACCTGTTGAGAAGTTTGTGTTCTCAAATGTGTGATGTTATTGCGCATCTGGTGAGTGCGCAATTCTTCTATTACCTGATATATCACCATATGATTGGAGATAGGAAGTGGATCACCATACCCTGAGATCTTAACATTGGATCTTCACCTTTCTTTTTGGACTTTGTCACTATATTAAGCACTATTAGCCGCCTTGAGTGGCATTACGTTGATTTATATCATTCACTTTCTCACTTTATGGACTTTTATATGTCATTATCTATGGTCACTTTATAAGCACCATTATCACTTTACAGATTATTTCGGACCAGTGATACATTTATTTATTTCTGCTGGTTTATGATTGCTTTTGAGGTACCCACTTCCACTTCTGCTCAGATCATGCAGGCATTCTCCTCCCTCCCTCTCTCCCTGGAGTCTTCTGGGACATGTCAGAGGTCCCAGTAGACTGTGGGACCAATTACAATGTGCAGCGCAGCTCGCGCATGCACAGTGGGTACCTGGCTGTGAAGCTGCAAAATGTCACAGCTGGGGGCCAACAGTCAAGATGTCATCGCTGGGGACCAAAGACGGGTGGGCTCAGGTGAGCACAGTGCGTGATCATGGAAGATGTGAGTATCTCTTTATCAAAAGTGAGAAGCTCCAGTTTTTGTAGCTGTTCACTTTTAATGTTGAAAAATCAGACTGCAGCTCCTCCTTAAAGATCCCATATTTAAACAAGCAAAAATTTATTAAAAAATTCCTAAATTCTGCCATTAAAATTGGTAAATGAAGCAGAATGTTAAACACCTGCAATACAAGCAGAATGTTAGAGGCAATTAATAACATTCTTCTTACACTGTTAATAAAAACAGAAATGAATATAATTAGGTGGTTTAAGAAGTTAATTTTAATTTGACTAACATTGGTTCATGAGCAACAAAAGAAATTATCACAATTTTTATAACTTTAATGATCAATTCATACAGGAAACCAGCCAACAGTCTTGGAAACAGCAGAGATATTCCATCCTCTGAAGAATCGGTGGGAAAGTCTAAGCCCGATGCCAACGCCACGGTGTGCCTGTGCCTGTACTGTCCTAAAAAATAGATTGTATGCAATAGGAGGAGTAAACCAGGTCCCTAGTTCCGCTGTAGAAATGCTGAGTGTGGTGGAGACTTGACTAAAGTTTATGTATTGTAATGTGGTTGTTAGCTGAGAGATTGAAAAAGCACCGCTTTTGCTATACTGAGGGAATCAGATTGTTTACTAGTAGAATAGTGAGCATTGGTATACAGAAGATTATCTATATGATCTTAGACTGCTAACCATGTAAAAGGAATACAGACAAATTTGTTTAATATAAATTATTTTGATGTTTTTTTTGACGATTGGCTATGAGCTAGGAACAATGTCACAATATAAAATGTAAAGAGCAGCTCCATTGATTACAGATTTCTGCATTTTGAGTGGCGTGAGGCAAGATAGTTCTGCTGCAAAACCTTCACTGCTTTGTGGGTCCTGGCATCGAAAACCAATTTTGGCATAGCTGCGAAAGGTCAAACTAGCATTTATAATATATCTAAAGCCAAAGCTTTTGGCTTGAGGGGGAAGTGTTATATTCCCTATCATATTTTTTATTGCTGTGTGGGTGTCTGCTGGAGAGATTTAGCCTCCTGTATCTCTCCTGATCATGATTGTCATTGGTACAGGAAGTGCTGAAAGTTAAACATTTTATATTCTTTCACTGCAACAAGAGGGGAAATCCTCCAATGGGGGGCAGTAGTTGATGAGAAAAAACAAATTGGATACAGACAGCAACTGTAACTTGATCAATATGTTCTTGTGTCTTTTGAAGGGTTTGCTCCTTTTTATAGATACAAAAGTGAAGATTTAAGATCTAGTTGTGCAGATAGTTTCAAATCTGTGCAGAATCACCAGTGCTTATGCTACTAAAAAAAAATGTAATTGCCCACTAGTTAATCCGACATGACTCAATCTCATAACTATGCATAGGTCTGTTACTTGCTTTTCTGGCCACCTTTAGGCTAGTGACAAACAAATAGTTCCATGGGTAGGGGATGAATCATAGCGGTTGATTTTCTAAAGGTAAATTGGCAGTTCACTTTGCAAGAGAATTTTCCCTTAGCTTAGTGAATGTGGTGTCAATTACTTTGGCGAAGTATACCGAATTGCCTGGAATAAAAATAATAAATTAATAAAAATTTGCTTGTACATGATTGTATGATGGAAATCAGCAGAACTTCACCTCATTCACTAAGGTAAGGGAACATTCCATTGCAAGATGGAAATTACCGAGCAATAAGTGAACAGCCTATTTGCCTTAAGTAAATCTAGATCATAATGTCATAATGTCAATAACAGAAATTAGATTAGAAATGTTCATCTTATTCATTGTTGTGGTATGGATGCCAAAGGGATTAAGATACTGGGTTCATTCCTATATACAGTAACTAGGTGTAAGGGAGCACAGTCCAAATTTAATATATATAGTTTTAGAACATCCAAATTTCTACAGTTTTTATTGAAATTTTAAACAGTTAAAGTCCAGTGAATAACCTGAAATGGCACATAGGTAAGTGATAAACTGCCAAAGGTGAAAAAAAGTTTTGGTTAACAAAAACTGAATAATAATGTACATTTCAAATTTATACAAAAAGGCCTTTTTCAGGGAAGTAGCTATGGATTCTTCTGCAGCAATGTAAGAAAATTATGGCTTAAAAGACTATGCCAACAATTCCTACAGGTGTCCCAGATTTTGTTGATTACTTAAAAGCTCTCTGTCTGTATAAAAGACCCTCTTAAGCAATATTTGGATAGTATTGTACTGCAGGAAGTAGTATATTGCTCTCAAAATGGTGAGAAAAAGACAATTACCAAAGGAAGGACTGACCGAACATTATAATCCTTAAAAGTGTAGATTTCCTTTAGAGAAATTGCAAAGAAATCCAAGGTGTCAGTGAATACAGTTTCCTACACCATCAGAAGGCTCTTGGAAACTGGCAGGAAGAGATCTGGCAGACCCAAAGCCACAACAGAATCTGAAGACAAGTTTCTCAGAATCAATAGCTTGCATGACAGGCGGCTCACAGGATAACAGCTTCAAGCACAGCTTAACACTGATCGAAATAAGCAAGTCTCAGTTTTAACTGTGAAGAGAAGACCTCAAACTGCAGGTTTGACAGAGTGAGTGGCTGTAAGGAAGCCATTGCTAAGATGGCAAAATAAAAAATAAAAAAAAGAGGGTTGCCTGGGTCATGAAGCACTGCCAGTGGACTACTGAAGGCTGGAAGAAGGCCTTATGGAGCGATTAATCAAAGTTTGAGATTTTCAGTTCATCACACATGGTTTTTGTAAATCAAGTAGGTGAAAGGATGGTTCCTTAGTGTGTGACACCAACTGTCAAACATGGATGATGGTCTGAGGTTCGTTTGCAGGATCCAAAGTCAGCATGCTGCAGAGAGTGAGTGAAATCCTGAACCGAAACCACTACCACATCATTTTGCAACGCCATGTAGTATGCCTAGTTTGTCAGGGTTCATTCTACAGCAAGATAATGACCCAAAACATACCTCTAGGCTGTGTCAGAACTAACTTAGAAGAAAAAAACAAGATGGTAGGTTTCAAATCATGGAATGGCCAGTACAGTCTTCAGGCATAAACCCCATTGAGCTGGTTGGGATGAACTGGAGAGAAGGGTGAAAGCAAAGCAACCTACAAGTGCAACACATCTGTGGGACCTTCTGCAACAGTGTTGGAAGAACTTTTCAAATAATATTTAATTTCTGTTGTAGAAAGAATACCACAAATGTGTTCAGCTGTTATACCTGCAAAAGGTGGCTACTTTGATTAATCATAAATTTATATTATATTTTGTTAAAGAAAACAATTTCATGATTTCTTTTTTATGTCAAATTGAGTATTTATACTATACTTTATTTTCAGAGTACACTGAGATATTAAACTGCGAAAGTTTCAATAAAAATAGGGATGTTCTGTATCATCTTGATAATATAAATGTATTCCTTTGTACAAATTATGGGCATTTAACAAAATAAATATGTGATATCACTTGAGGTGGAATTCCTTCAATCTATAGTAAGAACATTGTAAAGAATTAGGTAACCATACTTGAATGACATAGTATTACCGTCTCAGCAAAGTATCAAGATGATTTTATAATACATGGGTAGCCAGTATCGGAATTTTTGTGAAATTGCAAAAATTGTTTGTTATGGATTAGCAAAGGGAGACATATTCAACTGTAGAATCAACGGCTCCATTAGAATTATTGGATACTTGTAGATCAAGCCAGATAATAAATATTTTACTGTTTTTCAGCTGAGGGTATATTCTATAAGAAACTAAAAAACATCAAATAGAATCTGAGTTCAGCTTTAATAAAAGTGCAGTATATATTTGTAGTTTAAAGCAATACAAGATGCCATACATATAGATTATATATTCAGGTTTAGGAATAAACCTAAAGCTGTAAATGCATTGTTCTTGATTTTAACATGCATGGTTAGCAGACCAGGTATGTGTATTGATTAGTATGTTTATACAAAGGTTTTATCTGTATAATCAATTTTTGTAAATAAAACATAAACAAAATATAAAGCTGTCAGATATATATCCCACTGTGTGATGAATAATAAAGTATTACTAGGTTGCTTGAAAAAAGTGTTTCATTTGCATTTCACAACAAAACAAAATGCAACAATAATTACATAAAAGAGAGACAAGTGAGTTTTCCTTGTCAGAAGCTTGGGTTTGGGCATATTTTATCAATAGATGTATGTTATCCAGCAGCATACTTTCCCAAATTTCCAAACACTGATATTGCTCATCATACCGCCATCTACTGTACAGTAAAAGGTTTTTTTTTTTTTTTGTTTTTTTTAACAAAAGCCCATAAAAGCATCTCTAAACTTTATTCCATAAAGAGGTATCTACTAAAGTCTAGTTAACCATAGCAACCAATCAGTATTCAATGTTTCCAATTCCAGATTGGTTTAAAATGAATTCTCAGCTTGCGTTTTATGTATTACTGTACTTAAAGGTTTACTTTTAGTCCAGTCATTCTTTAAATGAATCCCACTTCTTGATCCTCACCCCTCTATGATCTTCACTGTGCAGGCCTTTAGAAGCTGTGTGGCTGCAGCTGCATAAGTCTCCTGGCCAGGGTCTCCTTCAAAATAACATTCCCCATTTATTCCTTTGGACTTCTGTTGAGTTGCATTATAGATGACACGTGACACTTCTGCAGTGGCAGACATGCAACTCCCATTGAGGATCTTGGAGGAGTAGGAACAGATGAGTATAAGACTTTGGGGGGGGGGGGGGACCAGAAGGTTAGTGAAAGGATGATTGCACTAAAATGTAATTATTAACAGTTAAGAATAATAACTATTTGAAGCACAAGGCTGCTTGTATCATTTCTTTCTTTCAAGGAAAAAGACCTGGGTCATGATTTATGAGCAAACAAATAGCAGTTACAGTTACAAAATGTTTCACCCCTGGGTCATTTCAACATATAGTAGCATTCCAGCCTGTGATGAAAATGATTTTTTTTTTTAGCAGCAGATTTTGTGTCACTGATCTATTATATTATTATTATTATACAGGATTTATATAGCACCAACAGTTTGCTCAGCACTTTACAATATAACGGGAGACAATACAACAACGATACAGTTCAATACAAAAGGTTAGGAGGGCCCTGCTCCTCGGAGTTTACAATCTAGGAGATCTATATAAAAATATTTCATAATTCTAAAGTGGAAAAACAATATTGTTCCAAAGCATTTTGAACAATGCAATAAGGATGTTTCAATTTCAACTACCCCCCCCCCCCCCCCCCTCCCAAAAAAAAAAAAGCTCTGAGGCAATTGGTAACTTTCATGGGTCACATAATTCACTGAACAGAGTTCATCTTTGTGCAATGAACATGTCACATGATCTCATACTAATTAAAGTGTTACTAAACCCGCAACAGTAAAATCAGTCAGTATATGCCGCTAAGCATGTTTTTTATACTCACTGTGGAACCTAAGGGGTTAATCCTCCACACTGTGTAAAAAGGCTGTTTGGTCCTGTCTCCTCTGATCCTCCCCTTCTTTTGCTGTCCCCAATCCATCTGCCATAATTAGAGCAGTAGCA